AATCCCTCCCAATTCTTATTTTCTTCTAGGGACTGAAATCTAAAAACTATCAAGCAGTGGGTGAAGAGAAAATATTGGATTTTTGGCAATGTCTATATAACAGCTATCCTGATGATGACTTCCTAAGGATTATTTAAAATTTTGTTCTGAAAGTATTTCAGGAGCTTTGCAGAAATTGAGTAAATCTCTGAACTCATAACATTCCTCTCACAGGCATCATTTCCTTCTTACCATGTCTGATTTTAAAATTTAAACACAGGTACTTTTCAAGTGTGTGGATGAATCACTAAATAAATATTGTCCAACTCCTTGAGACCCAAACACTAAAACTCTCTTCTACCCAGCTGTGTGTTGTGGGGTAAAACGGTAGCAGTGGTGAAGAGCAGGAAAATCAGTGGATAGGAGAATTAAAAAGCAAACAACAGTGAAGTAGGTCCTTTCAACTACAACATGTGATTATAAACACATTCAAGTTACCTAAAACCACCATTGTCATCAAGTTGATTCATAGTCACAGCAACCCACTGTATGGCAGTAGAACTGCTCTTCATGGGATTTGTGATGGCTTCTCTTTGGAAATAGGTGTTCAAGTCTTTCTTCAGAAGTGCTGGATGGATTCAAACTTTTAAACTTTCAGTTAGCGGACAAACACATTAACTCTTTGCTCCATCTAAGTGTCATAACCAGGGTCCAATTATACCTAATCTTCTTTATATACTAGTAAAGTCTCCAGTGTCCAGATAAATACTGGGTAGGGACATGGGCAGGAATGAATGGGTTACAGAGATGCAAAACGGTGTTTTACAAAACCTATCCATTTGTTGAAGAATTGCTATTTTGCAGCAACCTAGATTCAAAGCAGCATGAAGAAAGCACAATTGGAGGCGAGAGGAAGACTGGAAGATGTGACTACACATCTGTTGCAAGTTATTCTATCGCTCTGCAGCTATCTCGGTGCCCTTCCCTGTGATAAAGTCTTCAAGTTATTCCACTGACTGAATCATCTTCAACAACAAACTGAAATCAGAAAACTATGTGAAATATGTTGTGTGGTTTTGTCCTCCTATCCAAGCAAATGGAAACCTACCTGCCTCCTCCCATGACACTAAGAACCATTGTACATGCGAGTGCATGCTAGTTGTCAGAGCTGAACAAAAGCACAAAAATGAGGAAGAAGCTATTCCGTTCTCCCCTCACGTTCCAAGTCTCGATGCAGCACATCAAGAAACAGATGAACTTTGGCAACCAAAATGGAAACAGACTGAGTCATGAATGTTTGTACTTGGTGTTAGAGGCCACATAGAGGGTATATTGTGGGATTCTTTTCCTGGCACCAGCTGCTTAACCATCAAGCATTTTGTAAGTACCATGAGTTCTTATGGCCTAAACTCCTTCTCACATTAAAACAGAAAACAAAACCCTCACAGGCATCAAACTGCATGGACGTGCTCACTGGCCTTTTCTCAAAGATGAGAAGCCTTGCTTAACAAAACAAAATACAATAATGGAGATCTTTAAGTCATTACAAATAGGGGAAACTTCAGATTTGATTTTAAACAAAAGTCTAGAATATTACTGACTTTCAGTTTTTGCTTCCCTCAGTAACTTGTTGCCATGTAATCATCTTCTAGGATTCTGAGACAGGGAGGCTCATAGGAGAATATTTTCTGCACAACTGACACGCCTACTTCAAAACAACTCTGAGGCTGTCATCCAACAAGAATTTACCATGTTGCCTACCAATATGGTAGGTGGAGTTTTTTAAAAAAATAAAACTGTAGAATTACTGTTCTCAAGGAATTTACCATGTGGTTCGGTAGATATAATACAAGGAATTTAGGAGATGCCTGGGTGTTTTTACCTGTCATAAGATGATTATCTGAAGGTCAAAATTAGTTGCAAAACTCAAGAGAACAGAAAGCAGCCACTAGGGGGTTGCCTTAAAGAAAAAGTACTTTATTTGACATTTTAGGCAAAGAGGGAAGTAAATTAATTATATATAAAAAATTAAAGGCAACTGTAATTATTAGTAAACACTTATTACAACCTTTGCAAGAAGCATCCTCCCTAAGTGATAACAAGATGAGTTCCCTCTTCCTTGATCAGATTTATCAACATTTTAGTTTATCTCCAAGTCCTACTTTTTAAACCTGTAGTATTTCCCTCTGTCCTCTTTTTAATTCTTGCAGTATAAAGAATTGTAAAACCCTAACATCTTTCCCCTTCTTATTTCTTCAGGGGGAAAGCTACTCTTCACTAAGGAGCCAGAAAGATGATATTCCTGCTCTATTCAACAATTTTGCCAAACTTATTGTCCATCGTGACCATGACCTGATTAACAGAAAGGGCTTCCTCCTTGTTAATTTCTTCTGGTCAAAGAGTAAATACTGCTTGTGCCTTTTAGGTGCCTTCCAAGAGCCTCCGACTTATATCAACCTTCACTTTTGTTATACAAGGCTTTTATCTTTCTCCAGCTGAAATACTCTTCAAAGGAAGAGTTGGTGAAATGTTAATTTTGGTACGCACCCTACCCCTACCTCACTGTAAACTGTGTGAAATACAAGAGTGGAGAGACTCCCTCTCAGTATTCATGCCATTTCTGGAGAATAGATCCAATGTGGTCCAGGGCTTTGAAGTCTATTGTCTTCCACTAACTGATAATAACTGATAATGCAGCCTCTTGAAAAGACTAACTACCATAGTTCTAGAGCATCATCACTTTTCGTTTTCTCTTATAACCACTTCTGTCAAGGAAATGTATATTGGTGATTTTTCATAATTTTGTGGTTTTATGAGTCTTCCTTCTCTGTGATGGCTTTATGGTTCATCTAGCTCTCACAGTTATCGCCCTCTAACAAGCCTCAGCTCTCACAGGCACAGCTCCTACTTGATGATCTCTACTAGGATTCTCCGCCTCAAAGGGAAGGGGAGATGAGCTCATTGTTAAGGAATGGCTGCTCTATGCTGGGATGCCTTGTTACTCACCACCTATTAAGCCCACTTAATCTCTTCTACAATTTAATGACCATTTATTTATTTATCCATCTTCTACTTCCTCACATCCACTTGACCTTCACTCTACTTTATTGTTAGCTCTAATCTTCATCAAAGAAATCTGGTAGGATGATGGTTGAACACTCAGGTGCTATGGAAAAGACCGGTAAGATCAATGGTTGGAACCTCTCTGCAGGAAAAAAGTATAGAAATCACCCTTTATGAAGAATTTTTTAAAAGACAACCTCAAACTCATTCTTGAGTTTTAACCAATTCTGGTGGGTTTTTAAAGCTTGTAAAGCACATGGGAAGAGATTACCCACCTTTCTCCAGTGGAGAAGCTGGTGGATTCAAACTACACACCTTTAGTTTGGCAGTACAACTTCCTATCAACTAGGTCACAAAAGGAAACTCTACGAGAGAGTTCTACTCTGTTCTAGAAAGCTGTTGTCAGATGAAATTCATTTGTCAGCAGTAGTTTATCCCTCCAATGAGGCCGTAATTCAATTACTAATCATCAGGGGAACCCTTAGGAAAGCAAAATATGTCTTATCCAACTCGATATCCCCAGAGCCTACCAATGTGTTCAGATGTTAGTAAATGATCATCGCATAAATGAGAAATCGACAACTCTTAATATTAGTAACATAACTGCATAACGTTTCAATGAAATACACTTCTACAAAGTAAGATGAGAAATCAAGTTAGCATTTACAAAATATTTATATGTAAAAAAATTATGTTCAATGCCAAAAAATGAAGTCTGGAAGAAAATTTCCAAGAGATTTCCAATAATAATAAGATTCATGATTTATCTCACAAGGTGCAACCACTAATACTTCTTACTCCCATCCTAGACAAATAGTTTCAAAAAAACCACTCAGATGTTTTTGTAACAAATTCACTGATTATTCACATCTTTAGGTTGTGAAATGCTGTTATTCCTGGAATGACTTATGAGGAATGAAAAATATTTTCTTCAAAGTAAGTCCAATACTTTTTCAAGACAGCATGTATTTGTATTCTGCTTTTAGAGTGCAGTGATAGCAGGAGAAAGAACTTTTAAAACACTGCAGTACAGAGATACTTGTACAGCATTTGACTCTTCTATAATAATTGTCATTTTTGTCTAATTCATACTTAGCCTTTTTAAAATTTTATCATGCGCTGTATTTTAAGCTTCAATTTCTTCCCACCGCAACTTTTATTCAGTAAAAATAATCAACTCCAAATGCCACTTCTTGAAAATAAGAATTTTAAATCTGCACCATTATTCAGTCAATATTGCTGATAAATCTCATACTAATATCCTCTTTGTTCTAACAATTACATAAATAATTACTGAACATATCTATCAAATAATTTCTATATTAAATACTACAAGATTGATGTTCAAGATGAGCTTATAAAGAATATATTTACTTCACTTGAAACATATCATATAATCCCAAGTAATTAGACTATTCCCCAGTATTGTTATGAGTCAACAGCATCATCTTCATCTTGTTTCAGAGAATTGCAGTCACTAGAGGTTCATGGTTATATATTCAAGGACAAAGAACAAGATACAATCATAATTTTCACTCTGATTCTCTACTAATAAGTCAATGTTTACTAAGCTAGGGGATTATTAAACCTATTATGATTGTCTTATGTAACTTTTGGAGTATAATTTTAATGACATGTCATATAAATATTCATTGAGGGCATTTATCTCAGTGATGAATGAGTAAGATTCCCACCCTGTTCATAAGTGTATTTTATTGTAATTAAACCCAGGCAGTCATTTAAAAGACAAATTGTGCCTATTTTATTGTGTTTTCAAGCTTCTAAAAAACCAGGACTCCTCTGTTTGCATATTTGATTAACCTTCCTCACTTGCCCCCAGAGAAAATTCAATTAACATATACAGACTGAAGGACTGATTGAATAGAGAATTAAATTTATGGCTGAGAAACTTTATAATTTCATAAGCATAATTAGAAATTGTTTACATAACTGCTTACCTCTTCTAGTTGGCAGGCTTTGATGACACTCCTGTATCTATACTCATCGTAGGAGACACCGAAGATGATGTTCTCTTTAATGGTGCCAGGCATGATCCAGGCAAACTGAGAGCAGAATGAAATTCTTCCACTGTGCTTAATCTTACCCTCTGAGGGTTCCAGCTCTCCCATTATCATCATTAGAAGTGAAGTCTGGACAGAAAACATATTGTTGTCAAGTCATTTGATCGTATTTTCGCAGGATTCATTTGTGTCAGGGTGTCGTCCTAAGCTAAATTATCCTACATTGAAAGACTCCTCTAGTCCAGTTAGTGCAATATTAGATGACCATTTCCTTTTTCAGACACTCTGTTATACACTAGAGATACAAGGAGGAATAAAAGAATAATTATAATAGGGTGTGTTAAGGGTTGTTCATAGAGCAGAGGCCCCTAACTCAGAAAGCTAGCCTAGATTCAGAGACGATCAGAGAAATATCCATTAGAGGTAACATTTGTTGAGACTTTACTCTGTGCTGAAAACTTTTCTATTTGCCTTAACTATATTAATTTATTACTCCTTACAATGACTCTATGACATGTATTGAACATTCTCTCCAACTTATGAAGAAGAAATTATGTAAAAAGAGGTAATTATTGTGCTGCCAATCCAAAGACAGGTGGGTTCAAATCCACCAGCTTCTATGAGGGATGAGGATAGGCTTTCTCTTCCAGTGCCATTTGCAGCCTCTGATAATCCACTGGAGGGTAAGCTTTGAGCTGGTTCCAACTCCGTAAAAATGAGTTTTAAGTTCATTATGTTGTTATGTGCCGTTGAGCCGTTTGCCATTCAAAGTGACCTTAGGCAAAATAGTTCTGAACCCTACTCTATCCTGAGCCAATCTCACTGTCTCTAACCCACCAACCCCAATTACCCCAGTTACTGTGTCAATCCATCTCATTGGGAGGTCTTCCTCTTCTGAGCTATTCCTCAACCCTTCCAAGTATGATATCCTTCTCCAAAGACTAGTCCCTCCTGGCTACATCCCAGTAGATATAAATAATAATAATAATAATAATAATAATAATAATAATAATAAACATTATTATTATTAATTATATCATTAACAGCATAATACTTCTTTAAAAAATGGAAGAACTCATGGTTGTCTTGATTTGCATCTCTCTCAGGGCTAGGG